AAGGGACCTTTGAAGACCATCTAGACCATGGTGGGGACATCAACTAGATGAGATCCAAAACCCTGTCCTGCGGCATCGCAGAATGATTTGGATCGGAAGGGACCTTTGAAGACCATCTAGACCCTGGTGCTGAGGACATCTGGTAGACGTGGTGCCCACCCAGCATGCGCAGGCGGCCGATCTTGTCCATCAGGAGGGCCGAGACGATGTTCCCCGGGAGGACGGCCAAGGTGCCCAGGAAGCTGACGAAGTAGATCATGTAGGCGTTGTTGTCGTCGCTGAAGTCCAGCTGGCAGCCCTCCTTGTTGTGCAGGAAGGTGCTGTTCACCACCCGGCTGTTGATGAACTTGTACTCAAAGAGATCTGTTGGGGTGGAGAAAGGGCTTGGTGGGGTCGTTCCTCAGCTCCATCACCTGCTTAGGGACCGTCCTGACCGCTCTCCGTCACCTGCTGGGTCATCCCCTGTCTCCATCACCCCGTCACCCTTGTCTTCATCACCCCTTGGAGACCACCCCGACCCTTCTCTGACCTGGTGGGTCACCCCCATCTCCATCACCCCTTTTGATGGGTCACCCTTGTCTTCATCACCCCTTGGAGACCACCCCGACCCTTCTCTGACCTGGTGGGTCACCCCCATCACCATCATCCCTTGGAGACCATCCTGACCCCTCTCCTACCGCTGGGTCATCCCTCATCTCCATCACCCCTTTTGATGGGTCACCCTCATCTCCATCACCCCTTTGGAGACCATCTTGACCTTCCTCCTACATGGTGGGTCACCTGCCATCTCCATCACTCCCTTGGTGACCATCCTCACCTTCCTCCTAACCAGAGGGTCGCTCCCCACACCTGGTGGGTCACTCCTCATCTCCATCACCCTTTTTGATGGGTCACCCTTGTCTTCATCACCCCTTGGAGACCACCCTGACCCTTCTCTGACCTGGTGGGTCACCCCCATCACCATCACCCCCTTTGATGGGTCACCTCTATCTTCATCAACTTCTCTGACCTGGTGGGTCACCCCTGATCTCCATCACCCCCTTTGACAGGTCACCTCTATCTTCATCAACCCCTTGGAGACCATCGGGACTCTTCTGCTACTTGGTAGGTCATCCCCATCTCCATCACCCCTTGGAGACCATCCTGACCCCTCTCCTACCTGATGGGTCATCCCCATCTCCATCACCCCCTATGATGGGTCACCCTTATGTCTCCATCACCCCCTTAGAGACCACCCTGGCCCTTCTCTGACCTGGTGGTTCACCCCTCATATTCATCACCCCCTTTGATGGGTCACCTCT